GCAACACAAATCTTGCAGAGCTACATAAATTCCTAGAATGCAGCCTCCTAGTAAGACTAGACTAGTTCAAAGAGACCACCAGTGACAGAACACTCTCAGCATTTGAAAACTGCTAATCAACAGCTTGGGCTACTCTCTCTAAAATGTTTTTGTACACTCAAAGAATTCTTGTCCAAAACTGATTCAAGTCAGTACAAGTACTTCTATTATTCCCCCCCCCCCAATGAAAAAAACAGGGAGAAGAAAGCCTGCTAACTCACCTGCAACAACTTACTTTTACCTATCACAAAATAGATACTGAAGGTATCTTAATATGAGCCAGGCTTCCAGAAAACCACTCAGGAAACACATTCATACCCTTAGTCAGAAGATGTATGGAAAACCAAAATTTCACAAGCAGGCAACCTCACCTGTCTGATTAGGTTTGCAAATACAGTCTAGAAAAAGCTAATGCACTTAAGAGAAAGAAACAAACAAACCAGCTTGTACAATACTGAAAGTTAACTGTAGTGAACCAAAACAAGCACAGACTAAGTCGAATTATTAGAAGTAGAGCAGTATGACAAAACTTGACAAAAAACTTTAGTTTCCAACGTGAGGAGAAGAAATATAGACAACATCACTGTTCTTGATTTTGCAGTTCTGTCTTAGCAAAGTGGGGGTAAAAAAATCCAAGCAAACAAAAAATATCCTGTAAGTTATATTAGCATGGAACAAAATCTCCTGGATATTGTACAGAGGTATGAGCACATGAAGAAGCCATCATGGTGCAAATCAAATTACTTGTTCTTCAACAGTGGATATGCATTACCTCCCCTCTGCACAATCCTATTCCACAACAGTGTAGCAGCACATGCCTTTTACAGGGTAGTATCCTACTTTGAATTTGCATTTGAAAATGCATGAGAACAGTGACTTAAGATCAACTGGCATAACCAAGTTTTTGCATGAGAACTACCACATGTTCACAGCCAAGCGTTATGACTTCTGAAAAAGGAAAACACTAGAATAAACTGAACTCTCAAAGACAAGCAAATAGTATGCCACTTTCTCTACTTCGAGAATCAAAGCCACTAACCCTGCCTGTCCTTCAGCATACCAACTATGCCATGCCATTTTACTGCATTCCCATTTCAGAGCATGGTGTTAGCTTTTATGGGTTCCATCACAGCCAGAACAGATCTTTCAACCCGGTCACCTTCCCCCCAGCCCAGTCTATTTCTTTGTTTCAGTTTGCTTAGATGGAGTAAGCCAAGAAACTTTCAGCTTCCCTACTTCCAATTCAGATTGTGAACTGTGTTCAAAGACACTTTTTGGGGAGCACAAAGACCACAATTTAGCATGAGGTACCAGGGAGCAAAGCAGAATTTCTTTTCTGTAAGAAGAAATGAGCAGCCATACAAAGACATCATGTCATAGGGTTAGAAGGACTGTGATAAATGATTTCACCCTAGTAACAAGGAAAAGCTCTGTATCATTCTTCTACCCTTAAGAGAAGGGCATGCATCACTTACATGCCGTAAGTAACAATATCCTGAATTCAGAAGCTTAAGGGGCCTAAAGGCTTAGATTGCTTACAATGCTTGTGCTTCCAGGTAGCAATGGTCAGTGAATACAGACACACACAAATATTTGTATGAGACTTTTTATCCTATCCTTACTGTAAATGATCACAGAGGTTGTTCTTAGTTCCTGTTAAAAAATACAAAGCATGCACACATTGACAGACACTTGCTTTCCTCGGTAATTTAAAATTAGTACGTACGGAAAGGTGAGGAAGAAGAAAAAACCCCACCCAAACAAAAAAAACAAAACAACTCCAAAACACTTAATTCACATACACAATTTCCCTAGGATTTCCAAGAAGTCTGTTACACTGTACACATCAAGAGTCTATATTACTACAGGCATTACTTGTTTCTGCTGCTGGGCCTTTTTTAGTGCCTCAAGCCTCCTTTGTTTAAGGTGTTCCAATTCATCTTCATCCATTTGGTCCAGCTTCTGCATTTCAGCATCCAGATGTTCTTCCACAACCTTGGCAGTCTGAAGGATTTCATTCTCCAGAACTTTTTGAAGTATGTCAACAGAGGTATCAGCAGCCATCTTTAACTAGAAAGCGATCTCTTCAGAGCTGTAGAAATAGTGATACATGGAATTAACATTTATACAAACACTTAATTAGAAGCCTGACCTCTCTTACTTGCAATTCACACTGCAGAGAAACAAAACGCTATGCTATTTGAAGATAACAGATAGTTCTGTTCTACAGTGCAACCCCCTCTGGAGAAAACCTTCTCATTGAACACAGATGGCAACAAAGATACCAGTCAAGCCCTATTCTCTCAGTCCCAACAGCAGCTGTTGAAAGCACAAAGGAACCTGAAATTACTTGTCAATATAAAGAAGTAGAATTCCTCAGTTCCAAAGAACTGTCATGCTAAGCCAGATCCAGATACCTTTAATAAACATTCTGAAACTAGAAGATATAATCAGAAAGCTCCAAGCTGATGGGAGAAGGTATAAGATGTCTCAGAGTAAGTCTAAGCAATGCTCAGTCTGTAAGTATCCACCAGAAGTTTAAATGCAATTACTTCAAGTACCTAATGCAGATCAACATATTCAAATCTGAATTAACACTCCTCAGCTAAAGAAAGACAAGGTGCTCACCAGCAAATGCTTTAGGCCACACTGCTTCAATTAGTACAACAAAGCTGCTATTGCAAACACCAGCCTATGGCAGCCAGCAAAAGGATTTAAAAACTCCCAACAACTACCTAATTGCTGTGAAAAGAAACACAGCTAAAATAATTTTTTCTGTAAAGGTCTCCCTGCCCAAACACTTCAAAATGCACAAGATATTAAGACTGGGGTGCATGAAGAGCTGAGGCAATGTAATTGATTGTTCTCCCCAATAAGCTTACGCTACAAAAACCCGTCACTATCACGAGTGGCAGTTTTGAAATGGGGACAGTGCACAGTCACTCTAATCAGATTCTCAACCTGCAGGACACGGATTTGATGTGAATTTTGGTTCCAGCTTACTCTTGGCTGTATTTCAAAACAGCCAAACTACCGGTGCCATTGGCTTTGTAAAACACCTTGCATGCTGAGGCAAGAAAGCTTTTTAAATAGCGATGGGCAAAGTACCAACATCACGGCAGCACTCCAAGTGCAATGCAACCTCAGCAGTGCTGAGTCTGCTGCCACACTCCACACGTGTCACTGCCACACTTGCTCTGACCTGCAGCGCCTCATCTTGACTCCCTCTCACTGAAGCTGCTAACTACGAAGTCTCTCTGTAAGTGTTTTCTATCTCCCTTTCTTGCACGTCCATAGGAAATCAGAATCTTGCCAGCGCACATCAGAAGCCGCTATGTATTCAGAAGAGGGAGGGAACCCTGCTCAGCTGAGGCACGGGGAGGCTCGTCCTCCAAACAAACAGCAAGGAAAAGAGAA